CAAAACGTAAACAAAAGTGAAAGTAGGATCGCCCCTGCCAATAATTTTGGATGAGAAAACCAAAGAGGAGAAAAGAGAGAAGGCAAATGCTGACATAAGGCATTTCAGCAAGGTGACTGAAATCTCACCCTTTCATCTAATGCACAGAAGACAACCAAGAGGTCTTCCACCACACTATAATCACATCTCAAAGATTTAGACACCTGCATTGATAATATATTCTCTACACCTGCTTACAGTGATCCATATGCATTGATGGAAAGAGTCTCTCAGGCAAATGCTACATCATGTCATCAGTAGTAACCCTTCAAATTGAGATAAACATATCTCGTACTTACTCTAAACTTAATTTAAAGTACCAAACTGTGTGACTGAAATCTCACCCTTTCATTTGATGTACAGAAGACAACCAAGAGGTCTTTCCACCAGACTAGAATTCACATCTCAAAGATTTAGACACCATGCTAATTATATAAAGTGATCTCAAATTTACAGTGAACATAAGGAAATGCGTTTTTGAGCATTCAGACATAAAACATTCAGGATATATGCTGGAAGATCTCAGCCTAATCCTGAAAAGTTACAAGCTATCAAAATTATATGAAGCCCTAAAACTAAGACTGCTCTAAAGGATGCATTAGGCCTGTTTAACTATTATCGTAATTATATAAAGAATTATTCAGAAATAGCTCACCTGCTGATAAATAGAAGATTCCGGAGATAATTCCATGGACTGATATTGAGGAAACAGTATTTCAAGATCTCAAACATTGATTGTGTGAAGCACCGAAACTTTACATCCTAGACCCAAAGAAACCGTACACTATCCAGTGTGACGCTATTCTTATGGAGTTGGTGCATGTTTATCACAAAGAGACAGCAAAGGCAATTTGCATCTCATCAGTTTTGCCAGTCAAAAACTTTCAATAGCTCAACAGAACTGGTCCATTATTGAATGCAAGGCTTATGCTGTTGTGTAGTCATTAAAAAAATTTTGAATGTTGGATGTTTGAATCAAATATCAGGTTGATTACAGACCAAAAACCATCATTATTTGTTCAAAAGTCTGCATTTCATTCTGCCAAATTACAGAGATGGACAATGGCACTTCAATGTTACAATATTCATACTTCGTATTGTCCTGGTGCACAATTAAAAAGTGTTGATAGTCTTTCAAGCCTATTTGGTGAATAAAATGTATGTGAATTAAGTATGAACCAATATACTTAAAACTTTGTATTAAATATTTTTCTTTTGCTCTGAAATTGTATGAGACTATTTTCTGACTGTTTTGAAAAACTTAGTTTTTTCCCTTTAAATTTTTTTTTATGATATTGTGTTTTTTGAATATTGTTGCATATATATGTTTTATTAACAGGAATCTGTATTGTCTATTCATCTGTTGTCAAATGAATGTTTATTGCACATATTTCAAAAGTATGTTATGCATTATATATATATCTCATATATTTTGATTTTGATTAGCTTTAAAAAAGTAGTAATAAGATATTAGACAAATAATATTTGGAGGAGTATTCATGTATCAAAGTACTTCTTTTGTTTATTTCAGTATGAGAAAATTTGAGTATTGTATATTAATTAATAAATACAGTACAAAGTCCGAAATCCGGATTCATCGGGACTTCAGCGATTCTGGATTTGGGATTTTTCCAGATATTAGATCATCAGTTTAAATCTAGTAAGATGGCACATAGAAATTATAAAATAAGAAATATGAAATTGTGATTTATGAAATAATGAAGCATTTATGATCTAAAGGGTATCAAAATTTACAAAAAAAAGCTTGATATATATTTGTTTATTTTATTAAACATTTCTTTCAATGTAAGTTGTTTAAGTTGCTTCGTTTTTTTGTGCTAATACTTTCTCTTTGATTCTAAAGACAGATATAATCTCTTGTTTAGTTACCGTAATTTCGCGCGTATAGTTCGCGGACTATCTGTGTTTAAAATGCGAATTTTTGAAGCTGCGGACTATCCACCAATGCGGATAATACGCTGGTTGTTCACGGTTAAAATCGTTGAAATTTAAAAAACACGCTGTCGTGAACTGCCGATGATCAAATATAAAAAAAGCGCGAGATTCCAAGAAAACATTCGTATGTATCGTATCGATACTAAACCACAGAGCATAGTGCAGAACGAATGAGTAGTAGCAAGTAGAGCTCCTAAAATCCAGGCTGGCGCATCAAGCGATGCCGGGATATGAGCCAAAGAAAGTCTTGTATGAGCACTCATTTAGCGCAACCAGAGTCTTGTATCCCAGTATCCTTCGCACTGCTTTAGCGCAACTGCCGGGAGGGGGAAAAGTAACTGATGCGTCAGCTCGGTTTTTAGGAGCCATAGTAGCAAGTACCTGGAGTTAAAAAAAAAAAAAAAAAAAAAAGCGTGATTCGTTTACTCGGTGGTTTGGCAACACCGAGTGAGTGGGTCGAAGGTCAAATTTCATTACCACTTATGACGAGTATAGCACGTTGCACAGTATTTTGTCTTTCATCTTCGATAACGTTGATGAAACATCGCCGGGAAAAAGATGGAAATAGAGAAGCGGGTCGTTATTGGTTTAATCCTAGTATTCGGTGCACACGGGATTTGGCTAGTTTTGGCGATTTTATGATGAGCAGTAAAAACGGGACATATACGATGAGTAGTTAACGGGTCATTTAAAAAAAATATATAGTTTAACATAGTATATACTACATATATAGTATATATACTATGTATATACACACATAGTATATAGTGCATAGTATATATATAGACGTTCTTTGGATCATTTTTGGTGTTGGCGATAATTTTCAAAGTCACCGTATACTAGGATTTTACCCCGTTATTTTGAAGTGGACGAGAAAGCGGTGAGAAATTGGCGCAAACAAAGGATGTGTTTAAAAAGCTTGGGAATATTGCCGTATTAAAAAAACGTAATTTCGGACGTATAGTCCACGGACTATCCAGTGGTGCGGACTATCTGACGATTTTTAAAATTTTTTTTTATATAAAATCTTGCGTGCGGACTATACGTGCGAAATTACGGTACATTGCTGAAGTCTTGTAACTGCTGTTTCGAGAATTCCAACTAACTTGTCAGTCTAAATGTTCTCGTTTTCAGTAACTTCTCTGTCACTTTCTTCACTATCGGTAGTGGTGTTTTCTGGATCAAGAACAATACTACAGATTAGCCATTCATTAATTGATTGATGATTGAGAAGCATTGTCATCACAATGAAAACCTTTTATATCATCTTCATTTATTACTGCTTCTCCACATTTCTTTACAAAATCAGTTAATTGGAAAATTTCACATTTGTTTCGTGATATCCAAAAAAAAACTTTAAAATTAGTGGCTATCATCATCAAATTTGGCTATCCTTTACTATACATATTTGGCTATGCTTGCATCATGACCTTGGCGACTAACGACAAATTGTTCCGTTAAATTTTATCTTGCTTCTATCACGAACTGAAATAATTAACCATGAATTGTATTAGTTTAGTTATTTATTATACTTATGACTATTTCTTGCACATGCTTAAGGCTTATCAGAGTTCTGAATAAAAAAAATTCTCACATATACCTAAGCCTTATTGAGGGCCAGCACTAGATATCTTACCGCTTGATGCAGTCTCTCCAAGTCATAAATTCTGCGACTCGGTGCGGTCATATGAGTCCTGGTGCTGGCTTTACGTGAATAACAAATCAGTTATTCTGAATTCAAATAGCTCTAAATATAATCGATGAGTATCATAATCAAAATCTATATTTAGCATTTGGGAAAGAAATTTTTGGTAAATTTTTCCTCGTCAACATTTTAAGCACATTTAACTTAAATCTGTAATCATTGCCAAGTGTAATATCAGCATAAAAGATTACCATACTCCTTTATTATTCAATTACTAACATAAAAAACTGTTTAGGCATCACTACATGAATCATTACTAAAGTTGTCATGTTTTAATAAACATGCGGTGATGAAGGAAAGTATAATAAATAATGATTCGCCAGGTTGCCATCAGATCAACGATGTATCTATGCCGAATGTTTCAGTTTGTGATGTGTGCCAAGCAGATACGCAGCAATGGAGTCAAATTACTGATCGTACAAATTTATGCTAAAATGATTGTTTCTTCAATAACAAGGTATTTTATTTAGTGTGGACTTGAAATTAAGAATTGGAACTCTCCAGATATTTTATTATGTGCGGAGGAGGGAATTAAATGCTAATGCGTAAAGCCTATGAGAAAACGTTGTTGTTGGCGGTTTTGAGGTCCGGATTTCGGACTTTGTACTGTATTATACTTATGATGTATTACTATTTAAGTTTGTAAGCTCACTTGCTGGTTAATTTGTCAGATTGTGCTTAGGTTTGGAATAGCACAATCCTATCGGGGGTGTATCATGTATCTTTCAGCGGTCAGTGAAACAACTTTCTCCTCATTGCGGTGAAAACCCAGTAGGAGAGACAGACCTGCAGATGAAAGGTTGAGTTGTCTGGAGAATTTTGGTAAGGTGGTTGCATTTGAGTTTGGTTTTTAGCTGGTGAGATTGTTATAATTTTGGTAAGGTGTGAAGAACACTTGATTTTAAAGATGATTAAACCTGTCATTTCAATTATATTCTTTAAACTTATATAAATATTTCTGTACATAACGTAGTGTTTAGTCAAAACTAGAATATGTGTTAAAATTAAATTTATGTGAAATATAAATCATTGGCAACCTGATAAGCACAGCAATAATGTCTATCAGTTAGAAAAATCATTACATAATATCAGGATTTGTGAATGTACCATTTCTTAAGCATCCAGAAAATATAATCATTGTAAATTTTAATGTTAAATTTTCCATGCACGACTGATATTTGCTCAAAAGATGAGAATCTTTTGTTTATGTAGAAATTAAAACCTTATTTGTGCTTAAAAGTACAAAAATTAGCAGTTGAAAGATCATGGAATTTGTAAGTGCTTTACAGTAATATTTTACCTCTAAAAATGGATTATGGCCAATAAAGCTCTGTCTGTAATCATTGGAAGAATTCTTTTCTTTAGATGCATTCTTTTTCTCTTCTTCTTGATCTCTAAAAAAAAAAAAAAAGGGAAACAAAAAATTTTTCTTTTATAACAGTGACAATTTCTTTCAAATTATTAAGTAAAAAATGTGTAAGCAACTGTGCAAAGAACTGGTCATATAAAAGATAATATAAAAATCATTGGAACCATTTGATTTAAAGAATAAAGGGATTTAATTCAAAGATGATTCAAAAATGATCTCTGAACCATAAAAAAATATATTTAAAAATTTACTAAAGTTATATAATCCAGTCTGCTGGAGAATGAGAGAATTTATATTTTTGACCTTCCCTAATAATTTTACAATTCAAATCTTGGGAGTCAAGAACAGTCTGTGGTTATAAATTCTAACAGCAATAGTCTGATTCAAACAATTCAGTGATTGGATAATTAAGCAAAAATGGTGAGTAATTAAGTGTAAAATTAAAGAGCAATAAAGTGCCTAAAAATAAGTATATGCAATGCTGATTACGGTGAATGTTCCATTATAATGGTCAGTGTAGAAAGTGATTGATTGATGACAATCACCAGTGTGGCTATTCATTACAATGTCCTTTTTTATAAGATGGAGTCATTTTGATGAGCTGAAAGTGTATTACAATTTAAGTTTAACAACTCATATACTTAATTAAAATATTTTTGAAAGATATTCTGCTGAACTGTTGCAAATTCTCTAAATCATAACACTGAATAATAGCAATTTTGGGCATCACATAGTATGAACTTATATTTTAAATATGAATAAGGGAAAATAAATCTCTTATTTAAAGAAATTCAGGAGTAACTTAAATTAATGGTAAAGATGTCTGAGATTTCAGAACAGTGCCTGCTTTTTTGCCATAAATTCCTGAATTATTCAGGGGCTTCTAAACCCACGATCTTTGATTACTAGACTTTGTAACAATTGTCCTAATGATACATATACCTATATATATATATATATATATTTATAAATTTAACAAATCTTCTTATATTCGACTGCCGCATAACAGACCCAGGATTGAATCCCCAAATTATTGTTCTCTTCAAGGGCATGCGAAACTCATGCACTAATGCACTTCTCATTGGCTCTGATGGATGCTGACATGAGCAAGCAACTACATACTAAGCAGCACCAAGCAAACATACCACTATGTGATTGCTATGCAGGTATGAAATTTGCAAGTTCATTTCTTTTAATATTATGCATTGATTTAGAATGTGGGAAAGAAGATCAAATAACTATAATGATAGCTGAAGGTTATAGATGCTGCTGGCATAATTGTGCAATCAAAGAAGAAACTTGGAGACATTGAATACTTTGTATATAACAAGAAACATAATTTCATTCCTTGATCAATAATTTCTTATGTCACAGTTTCTTCTTTTGACATCAGTATGAACGTGATAAGCACCCCACAAATTTATACAGATTTTTAGACATCAGATGACACTGTGAAGCAATGACACCTGCTAGCAGGACAAGGATTCATGGGAAAATTAAAAGCACATTTCAGCAGGGCCTACACATAACATCAAAATCCTTTCTCTAAGTTTTGAACAGCGATTGGCTTAGAGTAATGCAGGTTTTTTCAGCAACATTCTTTAGAAAAAGTTGTTAGTATTTTTAGAACAAAGCAGAGAAGCACCTAAATTAAAATGAATAATTTTGAGTTTCATATTTTTTTGTCTTAAATATATATAAGGTGTGAAAGTAACATTAAAGTATGTTAAAAAAAGCAAATAATAATATTGTATAATTTAGTTAATAAATTCTGGCAATGGTAAGTGTTCTTGTCATTAGAAGATTAGGCTTTGTGATGCTGTTGTTCTAAAGACCTAATTCAACTTATAGTTAGTAATTTCAATTGAAACTTTATATTTTTGTTTTACTATTAGTTTTTTTTTCTAGTTCTAGAAACACTTTTTCAGGTTATGGGTACAGCAAACTCTCATATTGCATCAAGTGTTTTGAACTGACAAGAATAAAACGAACTTCCTCAAGCCTAATTTGGTAAATGTTTCCTTTTCATCTTAAAGATCAAAAGTGGTTTAAAAATCAAAGGATGGAATTATCTAAGATCTAAGTAAATTCTTTAGCTGGTGAATGCAACTGGCTTGTATGGGAATATAGGATATAATTTTATTTTAAACCATCATCCTGGTGCTTTAGAAATTGTAGAAGGAACTTTAGTTAAATCAGAAAATCTTCCAGTACATGTTTCAGTTTCTCAAGAGAAATATAATGAAGCTGTTAAGAGCTTTCAAAAATGCAAATATAAGCGTTATGATGGTTTTAACTAATTCTGTGACAAAAGAAACTCTTCAGAAGATTATGAGATTTCAGACTGCTAGAGTAGTGTGGTTGGAATTACGTAAGTTATATGAAGCATCATTGGAAAATCAACTGTATAACATATGCATGCAGTTTTTTCTATTCAAGTGAAATGAGAGTGATAATATAGCAGTATTATGGAATGAGTTGAATTCAGGACTTGAAAAGAAAAATTAAAATAAGTTACCTGACATGCTACTCAATTACAAGATATTATATATTTTACCCAAACAATACCATTCTTTTAAATCAAGTTGGTTAATACTGGGTGAAGAAAACAAACAGTTGTTGAATTAATAGCACAGCTTTCCTCTCATGAAAGAGAACTGAGAAATCATGAGAAAGGCAAGTGAACAAGTGGTATTAGTAATGCCAAAATCTGAAAAACAAAAGCAGTATACAAAAGGAAAATTCAGAAGAAAATCGTGAAAAGAATACATTTTCAATTATTGCAAGCAGAAAGGAGACTGGGTAAAAGAGTGAGTAAGTGAGTGCCACCAAGGAAGACCACTGACCTGGCCTTAGCCTCACAGTGTGATATCTTCCTGGCAGAAACCATCTACTCTCTGCTCCACCCTGCTCCGGGAACGCAGCCGAATAGAGGGCTAAGAGCCTCATAAAGTCTACATGTAAGCTTGGATGTTGTTGTACGGAAAAAGAGTATCCTGTTAGAAACTACTTAAAATTAAGCAAAGAAGCAATCAAAAGACTGTTAAGAATCGCTGTTAGAATAGACAGAAACTTGTGTTAGATAAAGATAGGAGAACTCTGCCTGAAAAATTAACTGCCGTGGATTTCTGGACTTGCTAAATGTCTACATGCGGGTGCTAATCCTGACACAACTGTCATATATTTATGGGGCTTTTGTAAAGTCGTTGGTCCTGTGCAGCTAAGATTGATCTAATATCATTTTGGATTGATAGTGGAGCTACAAAACATGTCATGAACTGTACCACATATTTTATTGATTTTGTGAAGTTTCATAGTTCCTGTAGCTGAAGGCTGCTGGAAAAGAAACCTTAGGTGCTCTTGAGAAAGGCACAATGTGCGTCAACACAACTATCAGCAATAAAATCCAAAGAATCTACCTAAAAGATGTTTGGTATGTTCCTGAGATAAGAAGAAATTTATTTTCTTTATTTGCTGCTCAAGATAGAAATCAGAATAGTAAATTTATTGTCAACAGTTACAGAAGGCTGGTTTAAAGGTTAATGGTCAAGTAAAAAAAGTGCTGTTTTGGAACTCGCAGAAGTTTACAACACCTTTATATAAGGCAGCTATCGAACCTAATTATGCCTGATAAAATTATAAAAGTGCATGCTGCTGAAGTAGACAATTCTTTGGTTAGCAGCTATATCATCAAAGATAGAGGCATCAAGATAAACGTCACATCAAGAACATGCTGTGAAAGAATTAGGCAATTAAAATGCCCATTTAAAAGAAAATTGTGTGAACCACATATTTTTGGCAAAGCACACCGTTTATCCATTTGGCATTAGAAAGAAAGCCAGCAAGCCCAGTGAATTAATTTTAGTTAATGTTTGTGGAAATTTTGATGACTATTTCCAGAAGAAAAGATACTTAGATTGTGTTTAAAGCCAGCTATACAAAGTTTTGATATGGTTATTTTATCAAAGAAAAGTCTGCTGTTGTAGAATATGTTACAAGCATATGCTTGCACATGCAAAAACTTTGGGACATTCAGTCAGAAAATTTTTGTGACAATGGAGATGAATTGGACAATGACAAAATGCGTGCAATTTTGCATTCTGAAAGGTATAACTCAAAGACTAACAGCACCTTATTCTTCCTGAACAAAATGGCTCTAGTGAACAGAGAATATGCGTACAATATTGACATGGCAAGAACATTTAAGTACTGAAATTCTGAAGCTTATTTTCCTGCAGCAATGTGGGCTGAACTAGTCAACACTGCCATATACGTACTAAACAGAACTGGCAAATCATCAAAAGAAGGCTTGAGTCATTATGAGCTACGGATTAAAAAGAAACCTTGATTAAAACATCTACACGTAATAGAATCTGTTTGTTATGCTCATATTCGAGAGCAAAGAAGAAAGAAAATGGATAGCTACAAAAGCTATAAATGTTTTCATTTAATTGGATATGTTGGAGACGAAGATACCACCTATGGATCAAAGAAGACAAAAGTGTTATCTGTTCACACGATGTTATATTCAATGAGGAGCTCACAGAATGTGCAGTTGCCTATTCAAAATCAAGAAAGACTAATTTCTGGCTCTGAGCATCAACAAGATTCAGAAAAAGATAAGCAAGAAAAGTTTTTTAGTGAAAAAGATTCAGAAAAAGAACACAGTGAAGAAATAGCTGGAAAAAGATTAGAAGAAGATTTTGAAGAAAAAGAATGTGAAAATATTAATTTGCAAAATAATACACAGTCAAGATACCTAAGAAATAGAGCTGAACGGAGAAAGCGAAAGCATTTTGAAGATTACATAATGGTAGGTGAAATTTTTTTTGCTGATTCCAAACAGCCTGGTTCTTATGAAGAAGTAACTGTAAATAAAGTGTACATTCGAATGAAGATTCATCACTGATGAAAATGAAACATGGACTTTAGAAAAATTAACAAAGGATGCTAAAGCTACAGCATGCAAGTGTGTTTATAACATCAAAAAGAACCCTGATGGATCTACGATAAATTCAAAGCCAGACTCGTTGCCAAAGGATTTAGTCAGAGCTGTGGAATTGATTATGATTAAATGTTTAGTCCAGTTACAAAGTTAGGAACTGGACTAAACTTTGTTCAACTCGTTCAATTCTTAGTACTGCAGCAAATGAGCATATGCATTTTTCTCAGTTTGATGTCTATTATCAGCATTCTTATATGAAATACAGTCAAAAGTCGTTAACTCGGACACCCATAATCCGGAATGATCTATAATCCGGACCTCAAAGCTACAAACTTTCTGCGCATGCGTCGCATTGACGCAGACCTTTACGGCTGCGAATATGCGTGTGTGCATGCGCAAAATACGTTTAAGCATGCGCGTATAATGTATAACGGACAGTATAAGCTAAGCTAAAATTATCTAATTCGGTTAATGTTACAGATTGTGTTGTTCCTTAATCTTCGGATTGGATCCGGCTTATTATTTTTTGCAGACAGTTAGAGCATTTTTTATAAAAGCAAGCTTGAACTTTCGATTATGTCAAATAGAATTTCCGATATATATTTACTAATATGTAAAGAAAGGATCTACAAAGTGAAAGTATGTTTTGAAGTCCATTACACAAAAGTGGAATTGCTGCAAAAAATGACCTAACCATTCCAAAATCTGTTTATCAATTTCACGCTGCTCTGCGTGGGGGGGGGGCGCCGCAGCGCGCAATGAAATGGAAGTTGATCTGTCAGCACTATCCTTATCTTCAGGGCAGATGTTTTTATTTTATTTGGCTTATAATTCTTACTAAATGTAGTATTTTATCTCGATGTATTCCGTCTTTGATATGATTTAAATCAAATTCCTCGTCATTATAATTTGCTTCTGATAGTGATGAAAGTGACACAGATGCTATCGAAAATGAAAAAATTTCGATTGACAAATTAGTCGGTATTCTCGACACAGCAATTATAGGACTTGAACAGCGGAACTTTGTAACTGAACAAGAAATTATGTCTGTTTATAGAATTAAAGAGAAAGTATTATCACATAAAACGAAACAACTTACATTGAAAGAAATGTTTAATAAAGTAAACAAATAAATATTATGCTTTTTTTTTGTAAATTTCGATATCCTTTAGATCATAATTGTTCTTTATTTCATAAATTATGGTTTCATATTTTTAATTTTATAATTTCTGCATGCCATCTTACCAAATTTAACTGATGATCTATAATCCGGAAAAATCTTTAATCCAGAATCGCCGAAGTCCCGACGAGTCTGGATTAACGACTTTTGACTGTACTTAAAAAATCCATATATATGCAGTAACCAGAAGGACATAGTGATGGTTCTGACAAAGTCTGTAAGCTGAAACATAGTTTATATGTTTATAGTGTTGGAATAAATATTTTGGATACTTTGTGTCACAACTTGGCTTCAAGATGAGTGAAGCAGATCCATGCTTATATATAAGAAACAAAAATGGCAAGAAGCTAATCGTATGCTTATATATAGACAATAGTTTGGTAGCATCAACAGATCTACAAGAATCTGAAAAATGAAAAATTTTTGATAACTGAAGTCAAGATTACAAGTAATAACTAAACCAGGAGTATACTTCCTTGGACTTGAAATTAATCATTTTGAAGATGGAAGTATTAGAATTTGTCAGCAACCTTATGCATAAAAAATTGTTCAAAGATTTGGGATGGAAGATTGCAAACCAGTGTCAATTTCCTATCCTGAAGGAAAGTTTAACAGAAAAGAAAAAGTGAAGATAAGCCAAACACAGAAATTTTCCCCATAGAGAAGCAGCAGGAGCTTTAATGTATCTTATGTTAGGTACAAGACTAAATTTGGCTTACTGTATCGAGATTCTTTCATGTCATCTTGAAAGTCCATCTAAAGATAATTAGATCAAAGTGAAACGTGTATTTACACAAATAGCAGCACTTTTTCATGAGAGAGAAAGTTCAAGAAAAACAAATTATTGTGTAGCAGATACAAGTACAGCAGAAATGACATTAACAACGCATTTCACCAATGATCTACTTGGAGCCTTACGAAATGATGGAATATGTTAAATTGTTATATACATATGTATAAGATGACCCAGATCATATAAAATCATTAAATAATTTAAAGCTTTAAGGATCTATAAGTGTTGAACCTCACATAATTTATGTGTGAAAATTTATATAATTTTTTTTTTTTAAACTTAAGGACCTTGTTAAGTGAGAGCTTAATTTTTGTATCTTGACTGCTTCTGTTTCCTCTTCTGTTCACACTTGTTTTTATTATAAATTTTAATTTTACTGACTTCATTCACGGATGGCTTATGGATTAAGGTGAATTAAAAGTGTTGATTCTCTTTGACAAGTTTCTGCATTATTATTAAGACCCTTACACAGTCTTTTGACTTCAGTTTACTTTCTTTGAAACTAATCAACAATTACAAACAGTAAAACTGTAAACCAGACAAAAATGAAATCCAAATGAAAAATTGCTTTAAACATGTACAACAGTTAAAATATACAGCAATAACACAAGACTCAATTATTTTGTTTAAAAATAACTGCATTAGTTGCAAATACAAAATCCTTATTAGTTTATTCAAACATTTTTCTTCTGTTAAAAAAGAATTTTCATACTTTCAAAAGACAGAAATATTTAATTGCAGCTCTTGCAGGGGGATAATTATAGATTTTGAACAATATAATACTCCCATTAACATGAATTATGGTCACACTTGGCATGTACTATACTACAGCATATGGCAATGCTGAATAATAAATAGAAATTTCGAACCATAACAGTTAGCTGGTTAGAATATACTATTTAAACTTAATCAATTCTCTTACATGCGAGACAATTAAATGCAAATATACTGGAATATATAACAAAAGGAATTTATTATTATTATTTTAGAGTAACACAGAAACATACTTTTCAAATAAATAAAGCATTTATTATTTTGAGCAGATAATAAAAGTACATATACTTTACAGGTTCTTTATATGAATCAAACATTTTACTTGGGGATCTCTGCACTTTATTACATTGGTTACAATTTTGTTAAATACCTGAAAAATTGTGTTTATAAATTTGTAGATGTTTACTTACCTAGCCCATTCAAGAGGATGAGATTTAATAGAATGGTATAAAGCTTTTAAAACATCTCTTGGAAAATTCTCACCATCATTTAGTTCAGCCAAATTTTCAATGAATTCACCACATACCATTTTACGCCTCAAATTCTAAAAATAAAGAGAATAAGAATGAATAAATGTTTTCTTCATGGAAACATTTCACTTTCTCAAAATAAATAAATAAATAAATAAATAAAAATAAAATAAATAAAAAAAATAAAATTCAAAATCAATATTCAAAGAAAATAACTGGTATTTCTTTATTGCATTAGCCACTGCAGTTAGTTATCAAAATTGGCAAATTTTTAGTTATCAAATTTGATCATGCAACTTTTAAGCATCAGCAAGAGCTTATTACAGAGGCAATTTTTAAAAGATGTAGAGAATATTTTTATTGTCATTTTATTTATTTGTCCTTGTAAAAAAAAAAAAAAAAAAAAAAAAGTTAAATAATTACCCAATTCTGAATTGGTACTTACAACCCTTACAACCATACATAAAAAAAATTCTCAAAAACATCTGATAAGGAATATTAAATACATTACCTTTGAATTTGGAGAAAGAATTTTAAATTTAATTATTGACACTGTATTTTTATTATTAATATTAATATAATTCAGGTAATAAGTATTTTACAATTCTCATTAGAGAAATACAATTACATATAATTAGTATTAATAAGTTACTTTAGTTTCTATTATAGCATAAAAATGTTTTTAAAACTGTTTCAGTTGATGACGTTGAGTAACTTATTCAAAATGTTGACATGGATCTCATGCAAGCAAACATTAATCCTAAGTAAAGATTTAACTTGATTTTAAATAAATAACCCTACATAAACATTAGACCGCTCGATGGCGAAGTGGCTAGCGCGCCGTGCAGCTGCATCACAGGTCCGTGGTTTGAACCCCGGGCTGGGTAAGGTTGACTCAGATTTTCATCCCTTAAGTGGGTCGATAAAATGAGTATCAAGCTTGCTTGAGGACGAAACACCACTTGTCCAAAACATATGCTGATGCACTCCGGGGCCCAGGGTCAAGAAAGCAGATTTCGGGGCACTGCAGGCCACTGGGGCTGTTATGCCACTTAGTTTAGCTTTTAGCTTAGAGACAAAAAGAAAATGTTGCTTGAAAATGTTTTCCTTAATCCTTGAATTAAATTTATTATAAATATGAAATAAAGATTTGCTTTAGCCTATGTCTATAAATCGATAAACTGGATAGATTAAAATATAGCATTGCTTTAGTGTTAAATTCCAAATTTACATTAAATATAATCTCTAACTAATGATTTTTAAGAGAGTATAATTATTCTACTGTTATTAGAATAATACATTGCCTCTTTAAAATTTAATATTTTTATCTGTTGGCTAGATGAATATATAAAGATTTATGGTTATTAACTATGTTAAGCATACACATGAAACAAACTGGAAAATTACTAGTCTATGAAAGAAAATTAACTATACTACTAATAGAATTTTCCTCAATTTATTACAAGTAATATATTAAAATTATTAATATGTAAAATACTTTACCAGTTTTTTAGAATATGGTGAACTACTTCAAAACTATTAAACTATGAGAATTTAGACACACGACAGTGCATCAGACCAGTTCAGAACAGACGGAAAAGAAAACAGCGAGACACCGGCCATGCGTATCTTACACGAACCATTTCGAGCTACTTTCGATCTCCGCATTACTAAAAAACTATCAGACCTACAAACATGCAATTTTGAATGTCTAATAGAGCTCCCTTTAACACTTAGAATTCCAAATTTCATTAATTTACCTCTTATAGTTATGGAATTACAGTCAAAAGTTGTTAATCTGGACTCGTCGGTACTTCGGTGATTCCGGATTATCGATTTTTCCGGATTATAGATCATCAGTTTAAATCTGGTAAGATGGCATGCAGAAATTACAAAATTAAAAATATAAAACCTTAATTTATGAAATAAAGAACAATTATGATCTAAAGGGTATCAAAATTTACAAAAAGAAAAAGCATAATATTTATTTGTTTACTTTATTAAACATTTCTTTCAATGTAAGTTGTTTCATTTTATGTGCTAATACTTTCTCTTTAATTCTATAAAACAGACATAATTTCTTGTTTAGTTACAAAGTTCCGCTGTTCAAGTCCTATAATTGCTGTGTTGAGAATACCGACTAATTTGTCAATCGAAATGTTTTCATTTTCAATAACCTCTGGGTCACTTTCTTCACTATCGGAAGCCAATTATAATGACGAGGAACTTGATTTAAATCATATCAAAGACGGAGTACATCGAGATGAAATACTACACTTAGTAAGGAATTATAAGCCAAATAAAATAAAAACATCTGCCCTGAAGATAAGGATAGTGCTGACAGATCAACTTCCAATCCGTGGTGTGAAATTGATAAACAGATTTCGGATTTCAAAACATACTTTCGGTTTGTAGATACAAATTACATATTAGTAAATATATATCGGAAATTCTATTTGACATAATCGAAAGTTCAAGCTTACTGTTATGAAATTGCTCTAACAGTCTGCAAAAAATAATAAGCCGGATCCAATTCGTAGATTAAGGAACAACGCAATCTGCAACATTAACTGAATTAGATAATTTTAGCTTACCTCCGTTACACATTACACGCGCATGCGCACAAACATATTCGCAGCCGTAAAGGTCTTACGCGCACTCGTAAACGCCTGTGCGCATGCGTGAACGCAACGCATGCGCAGAAAGTTTGTAGCTTTGAGGTCCGGATTATAGATCATTCCGGATTATGGGTGTCCGAATTAACGACTTTTGACTGTATTATGGTCTGAAATGTGTCATTTTATCACTCACTGACTGACTCATCAAAAACCTAGACCACTTCTAAACCACTTAGATACTTGAAATTTGGCATCAAGGCTTTACAAAGGAAAAAACCTAAAACTTAAAAACTCCATTATTATCGAGGTTAAACCAATTAATAATCATAACGAGCATTTGACAACGTCACCAATAGATGGCGTTGCACCGATCGTCGGGTTTCCGTGCCACTCAGATGCTTATCAATTTCCGAAAATGAAGAATAAAAACCTGTTTATAATAAATGACATGATAGCCCCTATGCAAGGACTTTGTATCACTCTTCTCTTTTCGTTTTATGATTTTTCCTGCTGCAGGACCTAACTGATTTTCCTTCAAAGCTATGTTCCTTCGGGATATCTCTTATGCTACTGGAAAGTACTGCCGCAGTGCAGTAAAAACCCAGTATATGACAACTAAGTATTCGATTTCGACTGTTAGCTTTCGAGCATGAAGGTGCGCTTTCCCCTCGCTCTTGTTATATATGTAACTGTAACTGCATCTATTATTATCTTTAATCATAACTGTAATATAGAATAGTAGATGAGCAATGTAGAATAAACGATGTTTGTGTACATCTTGTAATCATCACTGAGCACATACCCAACATACATAAAATACAACACATGACGCAGCCCACCGTAGATTAAAAAAAAAAAAAAAAAAAAAAAAAAATTCTTTTTTGAAGAACCATGCAGTGTAAAGATATTCTAAACAAAAACATGATGGAAAGCTGTTTACAGTGAAATCGAGCTGGTAAGTGCGTTGTTTACTTTTATTGGAACTGGCTAAAAATACGTATATATACACTATTTAAAGTCCTAAATTAAATATGGATGGATTAAAGCCTCCAAGTAATCTGAGTTTCGAAGGAAATTTAAGCGAAAATTGGAAGAAATGGAAACAAAAATTCCAAATTTATATGTTAGCGTCTGGTGGTATTACTAAATCACCTGAAATGAAAGTAGCTATTTTATTGCATATTATTGGTGAAGAAGCACTTGATAAATTTAATACTTTTAATTTAAGTGAAGAAGATAAGAAGGATGTTGACAAAGTAATTGAAGCTTTCGAAAATTTTTCATACCGAAAGCAAATGAAAGTGTTGATAGACTATATTTTTCTGTCGAACACAACATGTAGGTGAATCGTTTGATGATTTCTTAACCGATTTAAAGAAATTAAGTAGCAACTGTGGATTTGCAGAATTAAAAGATAGTTTAATAAAAGATAGAATAGTAAGTGGAATTCTAAGTAAAAATCTCAAAGATAGATAAGGGAAGATCAGTTAACATTGGAGAAATGTTATTAAAATGTGTAAATCTTCTGAATAAAGAGAACTTCAGCTGAAAATCTTTAACTGAAAGGAAATAAAACTGAGAAGCTGATCAAGCGTAATAAAATCCCACCTTTAGAAGAAAAAAGTCAGCCTTGTAAGAAAGAACTATCATGTTCATGTAAAACAAAAGCAACAAAGTTATTATAAATCTTCTTCAAACTATCAAGGAAATACAGTACAATAATCCAAAACCATGTAGAAAATGTGGAACTTTTTCATAAGTTATACAATTGTCATGCTTATAATAAGATTTGCTTGTACTGTAAAAAGAAAAATTCACTTTTCTAAAATGTGCACTTATAAAAAAATGTTAATGTTGTTACAGAATAATTTAGAGCATTGAGTTGCATAATAATGGTAATGAATATATTTTAGTTGGGTCAGTAGAAGATACAAATTCATTTTGTAAAAATAGAACCGGAATGGTTTGAAAAAACTAAAAGTAAACATATCTAAATATTTGATTTGTTAAGTTGGATACTGGAGCTCAGTGTAATGTGCTACCATTGCCTGATATTTAAACAATTAAATTTAAGAGATAAATGTTTGACTAAATCAAAAGTCACTTTAAGGAATTACAATGGTACTACAATTGATGTAGTCAGAAAATGTAAATTATTATGTGAAACATCGAAAGAGGACCAACGTATTTAGAGTAGAATTTCAAGTTGTAGGCATGTGATAAAACTGTTCCAGCTATTTTAGGTTTACCTACATTGCAAAAATTAAACCTAATACAAAGGATTTGTACAGTAAATCCTGATTCCAATCAAAAGTTACCAGAATCTTTAAAAGGATATCAAGATTTGTTTAAAGGAAACTGGGAATTTAACTGGATATACATATCATATTAAATTAAAACCAGGAGCTGTTGGTAAAATAGAACCCTGTAGGAAAATTCCACTTAGCTTATTAAAT